TTGGCATCCCCTGCAACTAAGAAGCAATGCCAGCCCTTATCCTCTTTCACAAATTGAGAGAATCTCACAGCAAAGATTTGTTTGTTTTGGATAAGGCTTGATGGGCTTTGACTTCCACATACAAAGTCCCGCATCGTTGCTGCCAGGAAGTCATCCGCTGCTGTGCATCTTGCTGCGATCCTGGTGGAGGCTGTTGGGCACTGGGCAGGTTGGCAAAGAACAGCATGTCACATCAAACCCTCAGTTCATTTAAACAAACAATTATTATATCAGCTCCTTCTGGTTGCATGTGTGGTGTCTTTGCTTCGAACATGTAGGTTTGGAAAAGCCTTCTGGAGAAGCTCGCCACCCACCATCTCATCCGTTGCTGCATCTGTGCAATACTGTTCAACAGGGTCTTCAATCCCTTTGATCAAACCAGGAAAGGACAGTGGCTTGATTTCCTCAGGTTGGTCATGCTGAGTGAATGAACTCATGGTGATTAAAGTGACACAGGTTTCTTTAACATGAAGAAGCTGCCAAAGAACTGAATGTGGAGCTGGACCAGTAGGGGAGCAAAGGTTTTTGATGATCTGCCGGGTAGATTTGTAGATACCCACCGCTGTCAGGTCTTGTGCTTTGGACATGTCATAGGCCCCAAGAAAACCAGCGGCGCTCTCCAAGTCATGGTTTATGCATGAAAAGCGGCAAGCCAAGATGAACTTCCGGGCATCCTGTCCAACACAACCCTTGTGCCTAACTTGTCTCAAGAACATCAAAAGAAAATCCCACCTGCCCAAGAGAAATCACCGTCGCCCTGGACAGTCGCTTCAGTGTAAGCAACCTGCAACCTTGCCCCAAGCAATATTGCAGGCACCTTTGCCGAGCTCTTCCACCAACCTGGAAGGCACAGTGATGGGTCGTGATGGGTTGTCAGAAGACGCTTCAATGAAAACCAGTTTCCAAATAATAACTAAATAGGTACCTTGTCGGATTTCCTCTTCTCCTTGATTACGTGGATCATCTCTTTGAGCATTTGGGCGTGAGGTACTTTTTTTCCCTCAACAATGGCAAAGTCTGAATCCAAATCATGGCCTGGGCAAGAGACCCATCTAAGATAGAGGTGATGCATCAGTGAGTGCAACTGTATCCTCAACATCAGCCAGGGGACCTTCTTTGGAAGCTGCCTTAAATGGTCCAACTCCAGTTTGAAGGTTCATTGTTTAATTTCATTTGACAATGGCAGAATATGACATTGACTTGACACCTGAAACCAAGAGTCTGCAAGCCGGTGCAATGACGTTGCTGCATGCTGCTTCAGATGCCCACGATGGACTTTTTTGGCACCCCTTCCACCTCAGGTTGTCGAAGTAACCAGTTGAAAATTGTCATCAAACACTATCGTAGACACTTTGCATTGGATGCCTAGGAACCTTCTCCTCTTCCAAAGGTAGAGCAAACCCCGGCCAGCTTGCACACCCTACAAACCAAGCCATGCTCCCCAATGGTAGCCCACGGAAAGTCCTGCTGCCATGTCTGCCAGCGTGAGGCGATTCGTCTTAGCTGCTGGACAGTCTTGGATCGCAGCGCAGGCTTGACCATGGTGCTGATGGAAAGAGAGTTCAATCAACATCTAAGACCTTGCGCTTTTGTCAGTTGTTCATTTTCATGTTTGAGTGGATCCACTGCTTTGAACCATCTTGGGAAATACATGGAAATACTAAGCTTGAAAGCAATATGGTTTCTTGGTGAAGAAGGTTGCCAATGAAGACCAAATGGCCTGCGGTGAGAACTGCACTCCACAACTGGCCTTCAAGTCAAGCCAATCAATCTGAAATCTTTTAAATTTACTCGTGACTACACATTCAAATTCAATACTACACCAATAGCTCAATACTATCAATACACTGAATCAGCTCAATCAGAATGCCTTCCCTGGGTCCTGTCAAATCCGCCCTCCCCCAAATGGCCTCAGGCAGTGCTGGCCGCTGCTGGTGGGCAGGCCTGCCAGGAAGCATTGATGGGTGTGAAGGGCTTGGTTCAATGGGGTGGCGTGGCTGAGAGGGCTCAAGGTTCGAGAGTGGGGATCACTGACTGTTGAGAAGTAACACCCTAAATCCTCAGAGCAGCTTGCACAGTTTTCCAGAGCTGAGCTCATCAATGCTCAATGCATATGAGCAGATGATTTTGTCGTCCACTGACCACCATTTTATATTTTTGTATGCATTGAAATCTTGATTGTTTCTGGTCATCATAGTTTCATTCAGCGGTCCATCAGTCAATGATGGTCAGTGTCATGGTTCATATCCCACCCTCACATTCCAAAGCGTGAGCTCGTTCTTCGATCCTTAAGCCATCAAATTCAAAGTGTCCAGAATCACCAAGTCTAAGAATTGAACAACCTAAGACTGAATCAAAGTGTCCACAATCAAAGCCAGGAGTCACTCTAAGTCTTTGAACATTCCTGGCACGCCATGTTGGAAAGGATTCTCCTGCCAAGTCGGTGTTGAACATGTCATGAAATGTGAAAGCCAAAGCTTCACACCAAGCTGGTTTTGCACCAAGGATTTCAACCGTCCCATAGACTCCTCTGATGCTTCCGCTGGAGCTGAAGATGCAGATGACCTCCGCCATGGATACTCCTGGAGTCCGAAGTCAATGGTCCGATGTCAAGAAAAACAGAATTGCAAAATTGGCAAAGCTGATGAAAGCTAGCAGGGGTGGATATCTATCGAGTTCCTCCAAGTCCTGGCTGTCAGGATCATGTCATCTGAAGCCATCAAGTCATGTGTCCATGATCTAAACACTGGTCCTCCGATCTGGCCCTCTTTGATGGCTGCTTCTGCTCCTGCTCCTCATCCTGTGCGCAGTGAGCCAAGTACGTGTATGTATTTTTGACCAGATGGCCTGAATGATCTTTCCAGGTCATGGCTGTGACTGTTTCAATCTGTCATGACAAAGTTGATGATCCCAAGGAGTCCTTTCCAGGTCGAAAAGAAGCATCAGGCGTCTTTGGCTGCTGCCCATCATCAGCCCCCACCGCCTCCTTTGGCTTGGGATCATCAGCCCCCACCGCCTCCATCATGTCCTTATTTAAAAACAGTCGCAAACAATGATAAGTTGTCATGACCACAGTTTAATGATGACATATCTGATCCAAGGCTCAAGGATGCGCACTGCCAGCGCCGCACTGTGGATTGCACCATCCAGCTGGATGATCATCCTCAGCGGCGTGTTCCCCACATGGTTGGCCGGCGCCACGATCCGCTCCACTTCACCAATAGCCAGCTGCGCCAACTGCTTGGCATTGTGGGGATCGATCTCCCATTCCACATGTGCCTGACATCAATTGCAATGATCATGGCAATGACATTCCAATGACTACATAAGACTGATGAGGTGAAGCCCTTCCAAAGCTGCTCAAATCAAATGAAGTCATTGAAAAAGCCAAGTTACTTTTGCGCGTTCCACCTGTCCAGACCGAAGGCGCGACGCCACCTCCGACAGCCGCTCGGGACCATCATCCAAAAGGACTTCATCCATCAAGGCCTCACCTTAGATATTTGGTTTCAAACTCCAAGAGACAGAAGGGAGACATCAAAGACTTTGCACTCAATGAGACTGAGACAGCCAAGGCACTGGGATTGGAACTTGTCTCATGCTCGGAGGACTGGATGTGCTTCACCTTCCGCTCAGTGAGCGTGACCGCGTCCGGATATGGCGGGACATTGAGGAACTTGATCTCTGACTGCGGCCGCATCATGAACTTCCTCAGAAACACTGAGGAACTACAAGTCAATCGATCAATGATGGCATGACTGACCTTGCATGGCATGATGTAAATTTCCATCTTTAATCACTGAACCATTGGTTTCCTCCAAGCGGCACCGTCTCGAAAACCTGATGGATATGCCCCGGGATCTTCACATTGTAGGTGTCACCGGCCCTTGTCATCACCAGCCTCAGATGATCTGTGAACAAAGGGACAATGCCAACGATGTTCACCAGAAGCGATGACTGAAGACTTTGATAAAATCATGGATTCAAGTCAAGCAACTGCTCTTCTCTCTTCACCTTCACCCTCACCCGCTGCTCTGTCGCAGATTCAGCAGCATCCACCGGATCCGCCATGATCGAATGACAGGATGAAGGATAAATTGAATGATCATGATCCAAATGATCAAAACTCAGTGTAAAATTGAATACCTGGCATGACATGATGTCATCCTTGGCATGAGACCATGTCTAGTGTCCATGAGCCTAGGGCCTATTCACCATCAGAAATTGAAACATGATAGAACATGTCTCTTGATGTGCATCGTCATCTTAGTAGCCGTCATGGCTGTGGCAAATCACCAAACTCACAGAACATCATCACTGACAGTGGACCGCTGAATTTTAGTTACTGTAGTCAAAATTTAAACCATAAAATTGAAGAAACACATCCTTCAACCCTTGGCCACCCCCCCCACCGCACCTCCTCCACCAGGTGAAGAGCAGTGGCCGCTGCCGCCAGCAGCCGCGAGCGCGACCCGCGCGGCCACCCCCCATCCCTCCTAACTAAACCAATATTTTTTTCATTGGCACTATTCCACTATGATAACTGCACCAAAGTATACCAGGACCTTCCGACAGGTCACCAATTGAGACCTGTTAGGGTCCAACAACCCTCAACTAACAGCCTGGCCAGGAGGGTGCTGGTATGTATTACTTCTTCGGGTGTGTATCAAAATAGGGAGACCTCCCACTTCGACCCTCTGGGAGGTTCGGGAAATAGACCAGTCTGCCAGGGGCGATAGACCAGTCTGCCCTATTAAGTTACATGGCGCCAGATGACCATTAGATACAATGAGCATCTTTGATGCCTGTTTTGTGGCATCAAAGAGACCTCCAACAAGTCAAATTGGCTTCCAAAAAAAAGCGCCATGGCTTCTGTGCCGTGCATGTTGCCTTGGTCGTCCTTCTCCCCAGTCTTCTCCCCAGGCTGGTCTCCTCCACGGTCTCAGCACGGTGTCATGAAGTTCAGGTCATGGCGTTGTACCTGGTCTTGAAACCGGACCTGCCGTGGGTGGGTGTGAGTCACCTGGCCACTTGGTCTCGCTTCGGATTTGGTGTCGTCCGCTTCGGCGGCGGCCACGGCGGTTCGCGGGTTCGGGAGGTCGGGAGGTCGAGTCGAAAAAAGGCTGGTTCGAGAGCGCCTGAGAACCTGACCTGCAGTGGTAGTTAGTTCCAGTATTATTTCATGGTGTTATTCTTTTAAATATCATGCGGAGGAGACCAGATGTCGCTGCAACATGTGCCCTGTGTGGTTGATGCACGGCATTTCTTCAAGTTTGGGACGGGTGAAAGGATGTATATATTATATATATGTATGATTGTATAAATGTCTTTAGCAATCAAGTAACTGATTTACCCAGCAAGTGTGTGGGTTCAACAATTGGGCCTTTGTGCTTGCTTTCAACCGGAAGCCCAGAACAACCGCCACCACCACCAAATGGGTCGAACTTTCCTCTACTCCTAAGGCCATGGTCTTACTGAAGGTCTTCAATGACTGCAGCGTGGCCTTTGGCTGTTTGGTCGCCCTGGTCTTGGAGATCCGTGTGCGGCTCGTGGATGGGACGAAAAGCACCAGCTTCGTCCATGGACTGGTGGGTTGTGCCCTGGCGCTTTCCAAAAAGCGGCATGACACGTAGGAGAAGTACCCCCGAGCTTCAGTACATTGGAGGTGAGCTGCGAAGTCAAAACCTGGAGCAGCACCCGGAACTCACCCTGGTGACCTTCCTGGGAGTCTATTCTGTTCTTCCTGTCGCGGCGAGAAGAGTCTCGTCTGGCATACCAGGCATTCTGCCAAGTATCCTCACACATATGATTTCACATGTGAACCCCGAATTAACACTCAGCGCTATCCAAGGAGAAAGCCCATGCTTGAAGGCGGGCAGTAGAAACTCCAGCAAGTATTCGTGCGAACCGAATCTTGTTCTCTCTCGAGATGAAAATCTCTGCACCATCGATCGTCCCGTTGGGAAGTGATTTGCCGATACTTTTGTTCCGGTGTCTGTTATGGCAACCTGGCACAAATGATATACCTGAGTCGACGCGGATGGACGCCACAAACTGACGGATTTCAGCCGTAAGATCCCGAAAAGTATGAAGCGATGTATCCTGCGACGGAAGGCGGAAGCCCTGTAAGTGGAACAAAACAGCCAATTCAACATAAGAGGTGACTGCATCCTCAGCGAGTCGCCATTGTTGACACGCAAAAAAGGAACCCAGAATTTTCCAGTCATTAGATTTCGACGCCCATTGCGGTGGAAACTTATCAGGAAGGAAAACAAACGTGGGTGTCCATGGAAATTGTTGAACCTGCGGCTCCCACTCCCAATGAGGGAAGAGTGCAAAAACATCTTCAGAAGCTTCTTCTTCAGCTAAGCGGGCTTCCTGCTTGCTTTCTTGGTCAGATTTCTGAAGCGCTGCAATCTCAAGGTTCAGCATTGTCAGCCAATCCTGTCTTCTGACGATGCTCTGCTTTAACATTTGTTCATCGGAGGGGTGCACGCTCGTGGCCTGCACAGCATGCTCCTTGGCAAACTTGTCAGCAAAACGATTTCCAATGATATGTCGAACTTCCGTCTTTTTGGCGTTCGCCATGGCTTGAGTAATGAAACACTCAGGAAGGTGTTCATACAAATGTGAAGGAATCCAAGACACCACAAACGGATCCGGATGGGAAGCCAACAAGATTTGGAGCCTGATGCTGATAGCATGCCACCACGAGAAGTGGGACCATGTAGTATGTGGTGCACCATCAGTTTGCAAGACATGGAACTGGTCAACAATTGTCTGGCAATCAGTGAACACTTCGGTTGGAGCAGCACACTTATGAATTGCTACGACAACAGCCCAAAGTTCCGTCGTATATGATGTAATATGTAGATGATGAACCGGGCCACCGAAGATTTCTTGGTTGCGGTCATTGACTATGGAAAAGCCTCCAGCCGAAAGCCAGAAAACATCTGGCCAAAACACTGAGCCATCTGACCACCAGCTGACTCGAGGAGCCGAGGGTTGGAAAGGAGCAGCAAGGAGGTCATTGGGATCGTTCCACTGCAGTCGATGTTTCACAACACCTACAGGGTGCTCAACAATACCCAGAAGCCCAAAGTTGGAGCCAAACTCATGAACAGGTTCAGGAGGATGCAAAGCATGGTAAGCTTCACAATCAAAAACCAGATGAGCTAAAGATTCTTTCACACACCCACAAAAGCGGCACTTGTCTGATGTGTCTAAACTGGCTGCACACAATCGGTCTCGTGTCAGCGTGCAGCCAACCAATTGGGCAACAAAGTGGCTCTCAACTACGGCTTTTGATTCATGCTTGATGGTGGACTTATCTCGCAGTCCACAGGTGAGATCATAATCAAGGATGCCTGAAGGCATGCGAAAGTCCTTGCGATGCTGATTTGCAGCCTCAAGGTAACAACGGTGCCGAGAAAGCCTATGCAACAACATCTTAATATCTTTTGGATGTAGGTCCCAGGCAGGCATGAGAGGTTTACCCCCAAAGGAAAGAACAAGATCTGGTGACAAAGACAGGCCAAAGAAGCGAAAAGCTTCCTTAATCTTGGACAAAAGAGCATGCTCTACCGTACAATGTGCCGCCGCCCATAGGCATTTATCACGCCCATTACCAGGCATCCTTAAAAATCTCAAGAAATCCATCACTGCATGATATGCTAGTGCGCACACTGGGTCATTTCTATGTGGTTCCGAGAGGAAGGTCATGACCAAGGCGCGGGATCTCCAGTGGGGGCGACGTCCCCAGAGAGTTTGCACGATTTCAGATTGGAACTTCTTTGAAACCTCTTTAGGGATCTGGTTCAGGGAGGCAGTGTAACAGAAACGCGGAATCACCTTCACTCCAAGAAAAAATGCTTTCACGTTGACCGGAATTGGAAGAGCTCGAATGTGTTTAATTTCCTTGACAATGGCCTGTGTCTTCAAGTCCTCAAAATGAAAGGCAAGGCGTTTGGAAGTAGTGACAAAAGCACCCAAAACCTCAACCTCAAGCTGAAGAGACATGTTAGGCCACAGCTGTTTGCAAACCTTGCGAGCTTTGGTGGAGGTGCCCCAAACAACACATTTACTGTCATTAAGTAGCTGGCCAGACAGGAGATCCCAAAAACGAGTGATCTCGACTGCATGAGCAAGTTTGCTCGCATGCTCCAATCTTGCCCACAAATATGCGTCATCTATGTATGCCATGGCAACCACTTCCGGCAACAGATCCATAAACACTATCCAGACCTTGGAGTAGACATTGATTGCTACAAGCGAGAAACTGTCTCCCTGGGCTATTCCGTTGGCAGCATGGGTAGCCGTTGGTGAACACCAGCTTTTATAGGAGAGGTGTCTGTGCAGGCCATCATACAGCTTGCTGAAAATCGTGACAATTTTCTTGTCAATGCCAAAGGCCAACATCAGACAAGATGCAAAAGATGGAATCACCCGATCAAAACATTTAGCTTTGTCAAGTTTCATGCCTATCAGGTCAAAACCTTGGGCACTGGCAATGTCAATGTCAAGCTTCATCTGCGTCTGTATGCTTGACATGTTCCTTCCCTGCACCCCTCCTACAAGCTGGGAAGGCATGGAGTTGATCTGCCAACCTCTCAATTGACGAAACCGGGCACCCGAATATGCCAGATATAAAATTGGCAACACCGTGATCAACCGTTTCTGCATGGGGTGAGAAGACCCATTCTTGTTGAGGATCATTTGACGAGCACATGTTAAAGTGGGTGGTAAAGGATCATCTGACACTTCAAGTGCAGCAAAAACGGTGGCGAATGGTCGAAAGCATTCAGCTGGCATCAATTGGAGCTCACCAGTCCGCCATCCATCAAGTCCTGGGGCGGCTTGGGGGTTACGGGACTGGACAATGTGCCACAAGCATTGTGCATCAATCGGCTGACATTCAAAACGCAACTCGTGGTCACGTATGTATGGCCAAATGATATCAAGCATTTTAAGCGGGTGGTCCGCTTGAATGTTACAAGCAAAAACGTCATCCCAAGCTTCATTAAATGTCCGAATGGCTTGATTGGGATCAGTGATGATGTTGCCATCAGGATCCTGAAGCAGGTTGGCTGGTTCTTCACATGCACGGTTACGCAAATGTTTGAAGATGAACTTTTTGTCTGACCGAGCATCTTCTTGAATTTTGGATTTCCATGCTTGTATGCGAGCCAATTTGATCTTGACATCGAACGTGCGTGCAGCGTCACCCACCCATGACAGGTTCATCCACACCTGGAGCAAAGAGGGGAATGACCCACTCTCCCAGACAGCGGGGGCTTTCAGCTCAACAAGCAGCCTACGAATTTTGCAACAGGTATTGAAAGTGACCTGGGTATCCACAAAACCTCTTTGCGCGCGAGATAACCGCAAACAAAGTTCCTGAAGGCCACGATAAGCACGGCATAATCGCGACATGCGAGATTTGGAAGACCCTCCGAACAAACTCTGCCCTGGACACACCTTCTTCGAACGAAATTTGGGGGGGGTACCTCTCTCCTTGAGGCCTTTCCCCCAAAAGGCCCCATTCTGAAGAAGGAACGAGACACAGAAGTCATTGGCAATGTGCCATTGGCGATCCACATCATCAGCTTGATCAAAGGCCTGCGCAAACGAGTTCGTCCAAAGGGTTTCAGCATGTTGTGATGTGAACTGAGCACAATCAAGATCTTTCTTATCGGAAGCAAAGTTCAAAGGGGCAGTCTTATTATGAACGAAACCTGAGATAAAGATCTTCGGCCAAGAACAAGTGATCCGGAGAGGGCGGTGTTGTGTTTCGAACGTGGGGACAGTTTCAACTCTGACCAACGCAGCACTGGTGACGTGGTTTATGAGGATGGAATCAATGCTGGAGCAACCCTCCTGTCCTGAAAAGGATCGATCGGAAGAAAATGTCAAGTCCCTCGAGGGAAGGCCATCAGCGTCATACGAAAGAAAGGGATCCTCCCACTTTGCAAACTGAATGGCACTCACGATCGACTGGTAAGACATTGGTTCGGCTTGAAAATCTCCTGACACTATCACCGGAATGTCTCCGTACTGTGCGGAGATCTCAAAGATCTTTGACAAGATGTCGTCGTTCCAAACATGTGGCTCTTGTTCGGATGAAGCTCCTGTTTTCCCATAAAAGGACCAAATGAGTGCTCGGACATGTTTGGTGACCTGGTGCCACACAGCTGTGACACGGGTGGTGTTGAACAACGCCTGATACTGACCTGTGATGTCCTGTTGGGGGTCAAACGCTTGAGTGGTCTCAGGGGGAGCAAGAATAGCTGACCCTCCGTGGGGAGTACGAGACACTCCATGGGTCGTGATCAACCCTGGCAAAAGCTTGGAAGAGAAAAGGCTACGACCAGTGGCTTTGACACGAAACGAGGCATCCCTGAAGTTATTGCGGCCAATACGAGGCTCTTGAATACAAAGAACTGAATCTTCCGAGGATTGCCATTGCATTGTGGTACGAAGAGACCCTGTGTT